GTATACCGCTTGGGATCGAAATTATCGCAAAAGGATTCATAAAAGTTTCGAATGTGTTGACAACCTTCGATATCTAGTAGTTTATGAGACATGAGAAAATTAGGAATATAAGTATATTTTTGTAAACATTATGATTTTCTTATTTTTCACCTTCGCAGAATAATTCTCAGTATTTGATTACTATCAATATTTAACAGTGATTTTATTATCAATATTCACCAGAAATTAAGTACTGGCCAAAAAATTACTGAATTACTGGTAATATTTAATCACTAATAATTTTTCAGTATTTCTTAGTATGATATTTCTATAAGGAAAGAAGATAGAGTGACGCTTACAGCGCATAAGCGCCCAAAGCGAACTCAGCCATTGGCCTAGTTTACATTGTGCACTTGATACACGTAGTAACTTTCTATTAGATAATCTTAATATTGACAATGCATATAAACGGCGACGTATTCAATCAATACAATATGTTTTATTGATGATTGTTGTATTATACCAACTTAATATACCGTTGTTTATATATATTGTTGATATTAAGATTATCTAATAGAAAGTTACTATTTAGTACGCGTATCAAGTGCATGATGTAAACCAAGCCATAGTGATTTGGTTTACATCGTGCACTTGATACGCGTACTAAATAGTAACTTTCTATTAGATAATCTTAATATTAACGATATATATAAACATCGGTATATTAAGCTGGTAAAATACTCATCAACAAAACGTATTGTATTGATAGAATGCTGTTGATATGCATTGTCGATATTAAAATTATTTAATAGAATGTTACTATTTAGTACGGGAGCGGTGCACTTGGACACGGTGCATTTGGACACAGCCAATCACAGCATCGTGTGATTAGAGACATTTGTAGGGTCCCTTGGAACAGCGACTTGTGATTGGACTGTGTCCAATTGCCCCGTGTCCAACTGATATACACCCTGCCGATAACCGTGACATGCTTTTAGATAGGCTGTTAGCAATCTAGTTTAGTGTAGACATCTGTGGCGCATGCAGAGCGCAAACGGTTACAGATTTAATTGGTTAGAGATCTTAGTATTTTGTGTTTTGCTAAGTGTTTCCACAATCATTTCTTTCGATCCTCGTGCGATCACCGATCATAAGTAAAGATGATAACATGGTCGCGATAATATATAGGAGCGTTCGCTAATATCAAAATACGTCCGTAACGATGCTAAACGAGACAGTTAAAATCGCATGCTATCGATTGAAGGTCTGATTGGTTAAGCCAGTGTTTAACGCAAGTATGGCCGCCCTGCCGTCACCTACGCAGGTACATCGCAATTTTGACGATTTTGCAAAAATTTCACGCTTAATATGTTGCGGACACGCCGACAGAAAGCTTTTTTTCGCGAGATTTCGTCGTAATCCGCGCTATTATCGCGTTGACGATCGAACTTTCGCGTTTTCGTTACGACTGTGCAACCATCGATAGGTCTTGTCGGGCGGTCTAGTTCAAGGCATCCCTTTCTGATGCGAAATTGATGTCAAATGTCATTTTATCTTTGGCCTTGTAAACCTTTGCTCATTTGATGAGGAGCCTCTATCAGTGTGAGATACGCAAATTATTTGCGTTTACCGGCCGATCGCTCTCGTGCGTCCATAATAAGCGACTCATTTGGGCGTTGATAAGCCTCGTACATGTCTCTCTCGTTTCCGCCGATTGCTTTTTTATCGATACGAATTATTCGGATATTTACCTGTTATTTAAATTGATTATACTCATTATCGCAGAAAAAACGATATCCTTTTGCAGGTGGCTGGAAGCCATACCGCGATATATGAAGCTTATTACAATCAGGTATCTTATTATTCATAAAAAGGAATAAAGATATGTGGGCAGTTATGTACAAGTGGATTTTATTTTTTCAGGTTGATCCAAATGGGCAGGGAAGGATTGAGGCGATGGATGCTGCAAGATTTCTTAAGAAATCCCAGCTGAGTGATGTTATCCTAAGTAAAATATGGGATATGGCTGATCCACAGTCACGTGGAAACCTGGATAAATCTGGCCTTTTTGTCGCTCTCAAGTTATGTGCATTGGCACAAAGTGGAAAAGATTTAAATATGTCTAATTTAAATCTCGAATTGCCACCACCAAAAATGGTAAGCTTACTCACATATGTATATTTGTAACTACAGCAAACATTGCTTATATGATGCATTTTGTTTGACATTAGGGAGATATTCCTGTTATCCCACAGAAGACTATCACTAATGCTCTGCTTGTAATAACATCCATAAACAATGGAGATTGGTCGATTAATCCTGCAGAGCGTGCCAAGTATGATCTGCTTTTTGATAGCTTACAACCATCCAACGGATATATATCTGGGAATAAAGTAAAAGGTGTTCTTATGGATAGTAAACTTCCCCTGGATACCCTTGGGAAGATTTGGGACTTGGCAGATATGGACAAGGATGGTATGCTGGATAGACATGAATTTGTAGTTGTGAGTATTGTAGTTCTAGCTCATATAACAATATCTTGCAGAGAATTTACACCTTAGCAGAAAACAGGCAGAAGCCAATCAGATTATACTTAGATTATAGATAGTGAATGGTATGTGATAGATAATGGTGGAGTTTCTGATTTTCTATCAGTGTAAGTTCTGATTGGCTTCTGCCTTTCTGTTTTCTGCTTTTTTATCTAAGTGTAAATTCTCCCATCAAGTTTACATACATCTTTTGCTTCTCTGAGTAATCTTGTTTACTACTACACCAGGCCATGCATCTTGTATATAAAGCATTGGAGAAATATGCAATACCAAGTGTACTTCCACCAGAACTAATGCCACCTGGTAAAAGAAAAGATATTGTCATGCCTAAGCCTAAATCTCCTGTACCAGTGGGTGTGGCATCGACAATATCAGCATCGCCATCGCCACAACCACCGCCAATTCCACCCTTGCCGAATGCAATGCCGAATGCGATGAAGAGTTTGACTGGGTTAGACGCTGTAAAAGTATTTATCCTTTGAACTGTAATTTAAAACACTTGCGACGCTCACAATGCGCTCGTATCAACATTTTAATATTCTCGCATTGCATACTTTCAGACAACCGTGCAGGTACAATGGGTAGTCTCGGTCGAGGATCAAATAGCCGCGGAGAAATTATTTTTACAAGCTGACATGGACATGGATGGATTTGTCTCAGGGTTGGAAATCAAAGACGTCTTCCTACAAAGTGGACTTCCACACACCATATTAGCTCATATCTGGTGAGCACTGTGCTATTTTATGATATACCATTTTATAGATCGAGAATCACTAACGGAGACGTTAACGAGGACGTTGTGTGTCACAGGAGTTTATGTGATACTTGTCAAAGTGGAAAACTGAATAAGGAGCAATTTGCTATAGCTATGTGGCTTATCAAACAGAAACTTAATGGTATCGACCCTCCGGCAAGTTTAACTCCAGAAATGATACCACCTTCAATGCGGAAAGCTGGAGAAACTATAGTGGTAATTTTATTCAAATATTTTTCTGAGATTCTTTTTACTACATACACAAACACATACATATCGCGTATTATTTCAAATTAACACTTTATTTAATATCAGAACACTCCAAATTTTATTAATGCATTGTATATCTCATACGACCTTTAAAAGCTCTCCAGAATATTTCGAGAAATACACTGATTATACAGATAGCGCCAATTAAAATAACGTGATGATTCAGTTTAAATTCTATTTCTCCAGTTACATTTAGTTTTATTATACCGGCGAGTTCATTATTTTGCCAGCAACTAATAATGAAAAATAAGTTTTTAAATTTTTATCGTTCAAGTCGTCGGTTCATCAACAAATTTTATTTACCTATATATGTTAGCATCCTCAAACTTTAAAGATTGAAATATTATATGCATCTGAGGATTAATCCGAATTCTCCCATTTGATTGCTCTTCGATGTAAGACGGAATTATTATCTTATCGTCAATCTGCCAGATAATTGGAACGTCTGCATTCAAGTTTCTGAAATGTCAACAAGATAGTTCTCAGTGGTTCTCTTATTATCGTTCGTTAAAACAAGATTTATATAATACTGTACAACACAGGTTTCCATGAGAAATTCAAAGAGATTCTGATAATAAATGTGAAAAAACATCCATGTCTCAGCGTTTTTCAAGATCAAGTTGTTAACGTTTTTTATGCAGCTATTTATTGTATTTGTCTCATATTAAAACTTTTAAAACTGTTCTAAATTATATGTTAAATTTTTTATTTAAATAATTGATGTTTTTCTATGTAAAATTGTCTATTGAATGCGAATATGATAATAGTAAGTCGATAAAAACTGTTTAACCTTTAGAGGACCGAAAGCCGATATATCGGCGCGACGGTGGTGTCAGCATTTTCCCCATTCAATCCAATGACATTGACAAAAAAGTTCTAGCTCTTAAAATAAAAAAGTCGATAAAAAAATAGCCGGTCCTCAGAAGGTTAAAACAGTAAAGTATTTAATTTGTAAAAAAAAACTGATTTGAATTTTTTTAATATTTTCATTTATTTTCAATTTTGTTCGCAGATTTTGTTAAGAATCTTAGACGTTTGATTTGCCGTTTGTATGATTCCGATTCCGTATTACGAACAATAGACCAGCAATATTCGTGTGTCACCGCACTCGGTAACTGAAACAAGTATCTATAGTAACTAATACTTTTTTAGATACTTATTTTTTCTTTATTGTATTTCTGGTTTGTTATAATTCCGAAACATATTGATTCTTTAAGACTCGAAACACAAGATAAAGATTTAAGATATAATACATTGTCTTAAAGTAACAAGTCGGCCATTATAAAATGGCCCTAACAAATGAAAACGATTTGATCCGGTACAACACTGAGACATGGGTACCCAGATAGCACAAAATCTCTAGAGAATGTTCTGGGATGTTCTTAGAATGTATGAATATCCTTAGAATGTCTTTTGAAGATTTGTGCTATATGGGTATGCTTAATTTATATTTATTTTCAGAATCTCTTTGAATTTCTCATAGGAGGAAAAAAAATTCGATCTTTGTCGAACAGTATAATTTGTTCAGCAAGTTTTGTATTACCCTGGACATACGAGTTTAATCTTTCTGTAATGTTTCTTATAAAGCGTAGTACGCACGACGGATGGCGATGGCTTAATTATTCCTTGCACCATAGAATATATACCACCACTATTGTTCGCACTTTCCAAAATATTTCCCTTTTCGTCGCGTACTTCGAATATTATATTTTTATGGCACTTTTTCTATCACAAAAATAACGACAACGTTATTCATTTGATTCTCGCTCGTATCACACAATATAGATACCTTACAATACCGTCTCATCATCTCAGTTCTTCTGTTCTTAATAGCTGGTATTCTCTGAATCTGTTTTGGAATAAGTTTCGATTTGCACGGCAATTTATTCTCAAATAACGATAGCGCTGTTTTCAATCGAGTTCGCAGACTCTCGTTCATTATCGTTGTCTGGGTTGTATCCTCAAACTTTTCATTCCATTTATATTCTTCGATTTAGAATTGAATAAGAATTGAAAAAACCTAGAAGAAACTTGTCACGCGCTGTTACCTTCTATCTTTGTATATTGCAATTTATCATGTTCGTTGTGCGTTTCTGTAATTTCTAAAAGGGAAACGGTGCAGTAACCATATCGAAACTTTATTCCCACTACGTCGCATGTAGAGCATGAGCCCCATGTGCTCCAGGTAGTGTAAATTTTCAGCTCATATTCCGGTACATTCTTAGCCGTTGTTGCTTGTGGTGCATGAATCGCCGTCTCCGGATACACAACGTCTATCGCCTCAAAATCGCTGTCAATATGCAAATAGTAAGCCGATCCTATGGTGTCTCGCATTTCACACCAATACAGTCCCATCTGTTCTGGCTAAAGATCTTTCCGTGTATGATTTCTTATATTTACACGTTAAGTATACACATTAAGTATACACTGAAAAAAAGATCGGGTAAAATGAATCAATCTCTAGGTTGAGCAAATTTTGTTACATCAGCTATGTAATTGAGTCAAATTGAATAAAAATGAGACAACAATCTGATGTAGGAACTTTAACTAAAAATTTAATCGAAAGAGTAAAAGATTAATAGAAGTAAAATGTAGTTATATAAACGCTATAAACGTTCTTTAAACTAACGAAAAAAGATTAATCTAATTGTATAATATAAGTAATTCTATCTATGAGTGGAAGATTAAGGGCTGATTGTTCCAACCTCTTAGTAAGCTAATTAAATTATAATAATTAAATCATATATCTATCTTTGTCTAATTTGAAAAAGATACAAAAACAAATATAAGTTAACTGTTAACTTATCAAGAGATTGAAAAAATCGGCCCTAAATAAGTCAGAAGATAAGTATATTGAACTAATAACTTTAATGATGGATGTTTGTGAAATTTGTTCAACTATAAGAAAAATCGTTATAACGATTTCTTTAAAATTGTTGAATAAGTTACGATATATAGAGTTCAGATATAGGTTGATATAGGTTCAGATATAAGCTTCAGCGATAGGTTGCGCTGGTTACCTAGCTTCCTTACAGATAAATTTTCATCGCGACGAGATATAAGCGAGCAAGCTTCACCATTTGAAGCTTTATATGATACGCGACCCGACTGTACAAACCCACTTTTTTAAAACTTTTTGTTTGGCGCCTTTGGTTGTCAACTTTTTTTTTTTATTAACTTAAAATAGTTGCTTTTTTTTATAATGAACTGGATAGACACTGATTAAATCAATAGTCTGTCTTATCATGTATATTATCTAAAGGAAAAATTTACTGGAATATTCTCTTTGATAATATATGTAGTTCATTTCACTCGAGGGAAAATTGAGTTAAACCTCTTTCTTTGTTACTACATTTGACAACTCAGTTGATTATCATTACTTTATTGGATAATTAAATCAATATTATGATTAATCAATTTTCTTGGATACTAGCTCATTTGATGTAGATAAGAGATTACAAGAACATCAAAATTATAATAAATAAATTGAAGTAATTGATTCCCCTAATATACAATCTAGATGTTAAGTTTGCTCAACTTTATTCAAATTGACACTTTATTTAATCATTTAATATCAGAGTACTACAAATTTTCTACTAATGCATCGTATATTTTATACGAAATTTAAAAACTCTCAAGAATATTATGAAAAATATACTGATTATTAGATAGCGTCAATTCTAGTTCTGACCGATCTTTTTTTTTATAGTGTGCACTACAACATATATAAGTCTCGAAATGTATACTTTAAGATTATACATGACGATATACTGATTGTCCGATGAACGGATGATGTGATCTGTATCTTCTACGATGCTCTTACTAATATTGCCTTTGTTACTGCTGTTGAAATACCACTCTATTAAAGTGGCTATACCCATCTCTGCCGGCGAAATGCAAATTTTACAGTTTAAGCTGCAAATTAATCTCTTATTTAGTTTCGTAATTACTAATGAACATTTTATGATTATTTCTTCGTTCGATCATCACGTCACAGATGTTCCTTCTAGCGCTGTGAGTGCGCTCGGATAGATAATCTTCTCATGTCCTATGTGGATGTATACCCTTCTTAGACACTCGTAATAATCTAACCATTGCTGTTTGTGAATTTGTCTCAGAGTTTCGTTGGTTCTGGGATATTCGTATTCGTCAATGTTCAGCAATATCTCGTCACCTTATTACGATTAACTTGTTTCAATTGAATGAATAAATAATTTATGAAAATTGTTAAGTAAGAAATGTTATTCACATATGCAATGAAAGCATACCCTGTTTTCCAAGAAGTATTTTGCTCATTTTTTCCCGCAATTCATTATGTTTGTCTAAATAGCGTAATTGCGGTGAGACGAAAGAATTATTTAAATAATAATAGACTAAAATATATATTATCACGCGCATCCTCATGATCGCCACGTCAAGGCTACTATGAAGTTATTCTCAACTCTATGGAATAAAATGCCAATCGTTGTATCTGACGTTCCGTATTTGTTTTTAAACATGTATGTAACGAAGATAACTATTAGAAACTATAACCATGTAGAGCTCGAGCAAGTGTCACTCTACTTTTAATCACTCGTGATTAAAATTAAACGCAAATGTTTGTCTAAAGAAAAATATTGATAAAATATTCATAGATTTGCGAAATTCTATGAAAATCACATCCGCGTATAATTCATACATCGCGTAAGACGATCATGATGGAATTACAGTCGAAAAATCGAGAATATATGAAGCAGCTAAAAGCTAAAGCCCGAAGTAGCAGATGGTCTATATTCTACGATACGGATGATCTTGGAAGAATCATGTATAAAAGTCGCGAGCAACATATACTAGAATTTATAAGACGCAAACTTATGGTAGCAATTTTATTTACATACAAATAAACGCAGTACTACAAAATGAAAATTTCGCGTGTAATTCGGAAAACAGACAAGAATACCATATTATATTGAATTTAATATCAGAATTGTACCAAGTTAAATAAACACAATTAAAAGGTTTATGATCTAATAACTTTATATTGTCCTTGATGTATAATGTAGATCTCCACAATGTAAATTAATTGTATATCAATGTAAATACATATATTACACATTCCATGATATTAGAAGATATTTCAACATATGTTACTAACACTGATCTTTTAAATATTTTATGTTCTGTTTCAGGAAAACAATAACATATCAGGTTACTCAAATCCAGAACTGGATATGATAAGTAAAGACATAGCAGAGCTTGTGCGTGAAAGGCAAAGCATGGAGCAGGATATAGCGCAAAAGGAAGCTGACATTAAAATAAAGAATGGAGAGATTAAGAGCCTTCAGAGTGAATTGGATACGCTTGCAGCAACCTTGAAACAACTTGGGAATCAAAAGGGTGAGGCGCAGAAGAGATTAAATGACTTAAAGGCACAGGTAAACAAAAGTTTGGTAATGTATCGAACAGTAGCTTGCTTATTGAATGTGCAGCACTGCTTTTTAGGCACAACTACATGAAAGTGCACATGCAATTGTTGCTTATACATTGCTCTTATAAAATGATACTGGTTTTTCTACATAACGATATTTGACAAATGAAGTAAAATAATAATAAATAATAATAATAAATAATAATAAATAATAATAAATAATATACATTGAACAAACGTATATTGAACTTTCATATATATTGATATATTATTGTATTATAATAATACAGATGTTTGGTTTGTGTATACTGTAACGGTATCACCATCTTATATGATGGTTACATTCCTTAGTATACAAGGTCTTTCAGAGGTGTGGAAACCCCTTAATATTTTGAAAAATATGCATTTTTTAAAAAAATGTTTCGTACAAAAGTTATAGGGCTTTAAGTGACATATTATATAGTACTATCAGTGTGACCTTGAATTGCATTGCCAAAATTATATGAAAATCATCTTCAATTTTTTTAAATGGAAAACCTCTATCTTTTATTGCATATTATTATAGCTTATCTCGAGAGCTTTCTAAAACACTTTAATAAAGTATTTTTTCATTACACACACACACACACACACATATATATAAATATATATATATATATATATATATATATATATATATATATATATATATTACTTTTTGTAACAGAAACTATTCGAAAATTGCAAATAACTTGATTCCAATTGCACATCACATTTAAAAATTTTTACTGGCACAGGTGGGACTCTAACTTGGATCCTGAAGCACATTCGCGGATTATGATTGTTGCTTTAGACACTACACCGCTTCCTCGATCGAAATAAATGTCTTACATTTTGTTTATATGTTCGCGTAGTAATCATATCATATAATAACCGACGTAGTAATCATATCATATCATATAGAACTCCAATCGTTTTCTATCGGAACAATACTATGCTGGTTTCTATATCG